AAAAAAAAAAAAAAAAAAAAATTTATTGTCAGATTCTTTTCTACAATGAATAAGTGCAAGATTTTCTTTGCATACTTGAGAAAATATGCAAATAGAGCCCAAAGAGACCTTGTTTTGCTTTACTTTGTATATTATTGTGTTCAGAGTAGGGTTAGCAAATGCCTGTTGAGGTCTGGGAAGTAGAATGAAAGGATCAGGCTGAGAATGAGGAATGGTAGAGATTGTGGCAATTGGGAGAACATATGCTCTTTGTAAAAGGGAGAGCTCATCCTGATTGTTGCCATGCAAGAATGTGGGTCTGTGGCTTGGCGCCTGTAGCATAGTGGTTATGGCTCCAGCCACAATGCACTAGGCTGGTGGGTTTGAACCAGCCCAGGCCAGCTAAAACAACGATTGACAACCTCAACAAGAATAGTCGGGTATTGTGGTGAGTGCCTATAGTCCCAGTTCCTTGGGCGGCTAAGGCAAGAGAATTGTTTAACTCCAAGAGTTTGAGGTTGCTGTGACCTGTGATGCCACAGCACTCTACCAAGGGTGACCTAATGAGACTCTGTCTCAAAAAACAAACAAACAAGCAAAAAAGAATGTGTCTAGTTTGAACAATTTTCTAATTTTTTTCAAGGAAAGCCAGAAATTTGCATTTTTGTACTATCTCCTGACTTTTAACTGTTGGCAACTAAATGAAATCATTTCAAAGCATTTTATAAGCCAAACAAAATAATTATGCAGATGAAATCTGGCCTCCAAATTAGTACTTTTTTATTTTCTGGGCTTAGAACACCATAGTTAATTCTTACAGCTTTCTTGAAGGGATGGTGTAGATCCAGTAGTAACAGAATGCTGCAAGATTTCTGGATACAAGTGGTTTTACAGTGGTTTTGGCACTTCCTGACTGATGCTGAGTATGTCTATTCTCATTTTAGGGTATGGTCAGACAGGTCCAATGTCTCGGCGAGCTGGTTATGATGCTGTTGCTTCTGCTATTTCTGGTCTGATGCACATCACAGGGCCTGAGGTAGGTATCCTTCTTTAGAATATCCATATTTTTTTTCCCTACGTAGTCTGAAGAGATTTTACTTTTTACTAACCCGTAGGATCAAACTTGAGTTAATTTTAGAAAGAAACCCAGTACAGTGAATGACTTATTAAAGTAAAATGGAAGTGTTCATCACAAATGTATTTGAAGATAACCATCAATTTGGCTCGATGGAAAAGAGCAATATTTTTAGCAATACATTTAGGGGTCAATGTATTTTTCATATTTATTATATTATTCAAGTTTAATATAGTCACCTTCATGTGGTTTAGGAATATTCTTTCTTTGAAATAGAATAGCTGACTAAACTAGACCTCAGCTGTCCATTTCTACTAGAGGGCATTGATTTGTCATAGCAGAAATTTCCCTCTTTTATCTGCAACATTAGAAGTAGTTACATATTTGAAAATTTGTTAATTAAAGCTTCAGGTATAGTTGTATCTGATTTGTCATATGCCTTAGATTCTGGCCTTAAAAGAATTATTTGGTTTTATAATAATCTCTCTCCATTGAAGGTGAATTGTGGAGTTCCTAAAAAATATACATAGATGTCCAAAATATAGTTGGTTAAATAAAAAAAAAATTGACCCCTAGATAAAACAGTATAAATGGTATTAAATTAAGTAAAAAAAATAGTATAAAAACCTAGTAAATAAAAATATTTAAAGACATCTATTTTAAATAAACTGGATTGGTAAAATTAAAATTTTTGTTCTAGTTCTAGTAGATATTCTTTCCCTGAATCACTTATTTTAGTTGATTCTTCAGGAAATATTTCAGTGTTGGGATGAACTGATGCAGAGTGATCTCATGTCTTCTCTTTTGCAGTCTTCTATATATTAGTTCAAAGCAGCTATTGGAGTTTGATGTTTTGAAATCTAAGGTCTCTCATATATATATATTTTTAATGTCTGTGGCCTTTCCTTAAAATATTTGAGGGTACTGTTTTCCTTTCCATACATTGAGAGAATGGAGCATCAACATATCTCTTTTTGTTCTATCCTGTAGAATGTCATATGGCCAAGACATTGTTATTGTGAGTACTTTTATTTAAGGCCACTGTCCTCAGTTGGGAATATGTGAAAAGATCTGGGACATTTGAATATGTATATTCAAATGCTAAAATGAATAAAATTAAAAACTTTAAAGGTATGGAATTATTGTAGTTCCCTTAGTACTCTTTACTATATTCTGATAGGGATAATCACATAGTATGTGCTCAGCCTTATTTGTTAACAGCGGTCTTTATCTTGTGTGTTACCCTACTTGAGTGATTTTTGTTTTAGTTGAACAAACAGTAACAACAATGTTTACTGAGTACTTACTATGTGCCAAACATTGCTTTATATAGTTTACATGTATTAAGTAAACTTAACTCCTATATACTGTATCTCTTTCACATGGACACACCTCTCATTTCCTAATTAAGTCATGCACCAATCCAATGAATAGTTATTGCATGTATTTCCTACCATGTGGTGGGAACTGTGGTAGTCACTAGAGATTATTCAGGCCACAGGACAGGCATGGTCTTTACTCTTCTGAAGCTGTCAAATGGGAAATGCAAAACATTAATAGAAAATATTCATTACATACAAATCAAAAGAACCTGGAAGAAGAGTACAGGGTGCTCTTCTGTAGTTAAAGCTCTTAACATATATAACAGTGTGCCTCAGACCATTATTATATTAATACTTCTAAAGATCTTCACAAAATGTGTTTTGACAGTAAAAGACAAAAGCAGATTTCAGAGAATCAGGCCATGCTGAAAGTTCCCCTTAAGAGAGTTGTTTTTATTTATCTTCCCAGCAATATATTATAATTCTCTAAACCTCTCAGCAAAGTTTGCACAAGAAGGGTAAGTTTGAAAGCTCTGGGTAATATTTTTCAGTAGACAATGCACAGGCAGTATTGCCAGTTATATCCGTTGCATGTGGCCTTTAACTGCCCAGCCACGTACCTGTGCTGTAGCATAACTCCATGTTGGCAGATGACTGATTGAGATCCAGGCCTCTCTGTCATCAGGAGGCTTTATTGCATGACCCTACACAGTGAAGCATAACATTGTCAGGATGGTCAGTGAGGGAGGGCATCTCTGAGTGCCAGATATCTGAAGTAGAACTGGTAAGCATTATCTAGTGACCAGAGAACCTGGTAGGTTTGTGGAGCCAAAAGAAGGGTAGTGTCATTGTATTATTGTGAACTAGCAAAGAAGGCGTAAAACAAGGTTGTAGAGGTAGGGAACAGTGACTGAACTTATTGTTTGTGGACTTATATTACTTTGTAGTTCAATGAGAAAAGAAGACATATTAGTATATATAAATATATTTGTGGTGATGATCTCTTATATTTCTGCCTAGAAATCAATGATGTCCCAAAGGTTAGTATTATAATGAAAAAACTCAAAATGCATATTAAAAATAATAATGTCATTTTTATCTAAAAGGGGACATATCTAAATGTATAACATAGGGTTAAATTTATGAAAGCAATCTTTATAATGAGATTTAAGGCAAACAAGTTACAGTTGACTGACACTAAATCTAAAATATAGTTTTTTAAGATAGCTGTGGTATTGTCAGATATGATTCATATTTGATTATGGAGAGGAAGAGAACTGATTTTAAGTACCTACACTGTGCTAAGCCCATGCTAAATGTTCTATATATGCTATTATCTCCTTTGATGCTCACGTAGATATGTCCAGGTAGATATTGATAAACTGTGTAACTGAAGCTTAGAGGCTTAACTAGCTTGTTCAGAGTGCCCAAGGATGTGAAGAGCTAAAGTGGGGAACCCCCACTCTGCTTTACGCTTATAGCCTGTAATGTTCCCGCTTTCTATGATGCTGCTGAGTAAATCCCGCTGTCTGTTGTATTTGTATCTTGCTTCTGTAGCTGCTCAGTATACAGTCTACTGCTTTACAGTATAGTAAATAGACCATTTTGAATAGTGAGAATGCATTCCACTTAGAGTCAGGGGCCCTAACTCTAAATCACTCCTATGCAATGTTTATTGATCACCTAAAATGGGCTTCAGTAGAAAGCCTCATAAGAAAGATCATGATCTTTGCTTTGATCATTGCTGTATCTCTATACATAGAACAGAGCCTTAGTAAATGCTTTCAGTAAACATGTGTTGAGTGAATGAATAAATGAATACTTAGCATTGTGCTGTACATTCTTGAACACATACAGCTTCCTGTGTTTCAGTGAAGGGTGCATATGGAAGTAAAGTTCACATACCTCTTCTATGAGATATTGTAAATAGCAAATAAAATGTCTTTTATAAAATGTGAAAGCCTGACATTGTGTATGATGTAAGGTGAGATACCTGAGAATCAGCAGTATAAGAGAAATGACTGTGGATGTTCAACAAAAACATTCAGTAGAATGTTCAATTTTATTCATAACAGGAAAAAAACTGGAAACAACTCCAATGTTCATTAAAAGAACAGTGGAGAAATTCTGGTATATTCATACTATGAAATGCCATATACCAATAAAAATATACGGTTAATACACACAATAATTGAAAGAACCACAAAAGCATTATATTGAGCAAAGGAAGCCAGACATGAAGAATGCCTTGTGTGGTTCTGCGTAATCCTGAGCTACACTCTCAGAGTTACTGATCTGCAGGCAGAGCCCACGAACATGCATGTTTAGTTGCCTAACGGCTTATGATAAGTGTGGCTTGTGGACCACAGTTGGGAACAGTTAGAGGAGGCATTATTATTAAAAACTTTTTTCCACTGGAAGTAACATAGATTCTTTCATAGACTTGAACAGAAGTTAGTGACTTATTAAGGCCTATATATTATGCTTAATTTATAATTCTATGCTTTGAATAAAATAATATTCCATAATTTTTCACATTTATGGCTCTGTGCTAACCAGTTATTACTCAGAAGGAAATATCTGTTTATATACCAATTTTTTAATGCATAAGGACTAGGAGGAAATTGAGAATGAAATCAATGAGTATGAGAGAATTTGGAAAGTAAATGACTCAGACATATGTGATACGTATTCTCTGTAATAATTCAACTATAAATTATGGCACACTTAAACATCAAGAAGTACTATACTGATTAATCTTCATGAACAGAGATGTATTACCTATGTGTGTATAGTAATATTAGTTACCAAAATGTTAGTTTATAAGTAACAGTTGACTTGGTCAGATGTATACTCATGGAAAAATTAGAAAATAATAGAAAAATGCATAGAATTAAGTGGATCAGAGTATTACTTCAGGGAAATGATGGGAGTTGAGTTGCATGATACCTTGAAAGATGGATATGATTTGGGTGAATTGAGATATTCTCAGTGGAGATCACACAGTGAACAAAGACAGGGAAGCAGATCCGAAAAGCAACTGGCCAATTATAGAAGAGGTGAGGGTTAATAAGGTTTCAAGGTGTTGAGGGAAGGTAAGTTGAGGCTATCTAGAGTCTTCAAGATCAAGTAAAGAAGTTTGGATGTTGTTTGGTGACAGTAAAGTTAGAGAAATTTTACAGAAGGGGAGTGACATGATGAAAGTTGTGCTTCATAAGACTAGTTTGACCTAAGTGTGCAGAATAGATTAAATCAACGTTACAAGCATTACTTCTGAGATATTTATGTCCCCTTTGAAAAACTAAGGAAATGCAGTTACCGAAGAGAAAATGCTCTTAAATTGCTATCAAAGACACTTTATTATTTAGTTTATATTTAATTTGTTTTTTAAGGAGGTAAGGCATTCACATAATATTAAATCCACAAGGTGCATAAGCAGGTTGACCATACAATTTTTCATATAAACCAGGACACTTTTAAGAGAGCAAGAAGGCTCTCTATATGATAACATTGGGGCGTAAACAGGGTCTTTCTCTTACATACAGAGTCTGCAATATCAATCTCCTTTCCTCTCTCTCCATCCCACCTTCTTCCCCCTCACATCCTTGGAGAGATATTCTATTCAAATCCAAGAAAAAT